TCACCATCACAACTGCCATTATCACCCCCTTATAGCTAGAAGTTACAAGATAACAACTGCCACCTTGTGGACATGAGGAAGAGGCTAAGGGACTTGGGAGCTAAAATTCTCGATGACCTCACTGAGCCTGTGAGCCATGCCAATGCCTCCAGCTATGTCACAGAAGATTGAATCACTACTTATGTAAAGCCTCTGCGTCTGGTTTTCTGTCACTTGCAGCACAAACGTGACCCGACACCTCTTGACACATAGGCCCTTGGTTAACATGACCCAGCAGTGCTGGTGTCGGCTGAAGAACATGAACAGGAGGGGAGAAAACTGCCAACTGCTGGCCTTCCTGAAGGAACGATGGAGCACAGGACAGCACACGTGCTGCCCCGGCCCACATGAGGCAGAGAGCCCACACAAAGTCAGGGAGACACCCAGATAGGCATCGGGGCAAGAGCTGCAGGAGCTGCGGGGCCCATGGGCACTGAAAGCTGGACATTCTTACAGGTTCCCTGCTTTTCTCCCCTTCCCCATCAGAGACAGAAAGGACACACCATGGTCTCATAATTGCTCAGTTAATTACTTAATATCCTAATGTTCAAAAGAAGTCATAGAAGAAAGAGGAAAACACAAAGAGATTGACTTTTAAGACTGCTTTAAAGTTGTACAGGAGACTTACGACTTCATCATGTTTACTTTTAAGATTACACATTGAAACTCTCCCCTCAGTAGAAACAAGTTATCGGAGAGGAACTTAAAAGGTTTCCCGTCATGCTGAAGATACACTCTGCTCTAGATAGAAGGGAAATGCCCAGCTTTTCACCAATCACACTGCGTTACTGTGAGCTGAGTGATACTACATGCAGTTCAAATACCACAGCCGGCAGCGAAAATGTCATCCAAAAAAGGGAACTGGCGACGCAGGCGGAGCCGGCAGCCAGCGTGTTTATCTGCGGTGCTCTCGCTGCCTGCCAGGTCCCCAGGGCGGAGCACGGCGCACTGTCTCCTTCTCCATCATTCCTTGGGGTTTGCAGGCACAAGAAGAACTGATTAAGAGCTGGAAAGTAAGGAAAACCGACAGCGCACCGCGTGGAGCAATCACGTGCGTAAGCTGGAGGGCCTGCTCTGCCCGCTGCCTTGTCTTTTCCACTTCTCTCGCTTTCACCAGAGTTCCTGATGGGGTCATCCAGAACACCCAAGGAGGGACTCCTCACAGGCAACAGCGCAGGGTGACCGGCTTCCAGTGCTGGGCAGAGGGGTGGAGGGACGACGGAGTTTTCATGCACCGTGCAGCCAAAGGACTGGAATGCCCGCCGCTGGCCCTGAGCTCAGAGGTTCTCACTACACAAAGCCACAACCAACAAAAGCACCCTTCCTGCGTGGGTCCCCGGGCAGCTGCGGGCACATCCACTGCACAGCACCCACGGGGCCGGGGCCAGGCCTCTGCACCCGGGGACTGTGGACAGGAACCCGAGGTTCAGCCCCAGCCTCAAGGCCCTGCAGCCCAGTCCCAGACGATGAGGCCCGGTGAGGCGTCGCAGGCTCCGTGTGGGCTCAGGGACTCATGAGCCCTGGCCGTGGGTTCAATGTGTCTCCCAAACTTCATGTTGGAAACTCCGTCCCTAATTCATGCTGCTGGTTTCTGGAAGTAACTGAGCTACATAAGGAGGTCACAGTGGGGCCCCCTGATGGCATCAGTGGTGTAAAGAAGGGAGAGGCCCCAGCCGTCACACTTGCTGTCTCCCCATGCAGTGCCCTCTACAGCGCTGTGATGTGGCAGGGAGCCCTCACCAGGGCTGCATGGATGCCACCACTGTGCCCTCCCTCACCTTGCTATGAGCACGCTGACACACCAGGCACACACCCGCGCCATGCACTGACCAACTCGGCACAACTTGCTGCACCTTGCTGTTGCGCTGTGCTGCACGGGCTGCAATGTCAGGGCCTGGCCACTAGAGGACAACAGTGGGTACCATAACGCAGGCACAGCTCTGTGGAGCTGTCGCCCCAGGACACCCAGAGCAAGCCTTGGTCTGGTCAGACGCCAAGCACTCCGACAAGACCCACAGGAGAGAAAATGACTTCTCCAGGGCTCCAAAGAGATGCCCGCTGTTTACAGCGCCCCGAAACAAGAGAGACCCAGCTGGCTGGAGAGCCAGCCCTGACTTAGCAGGTTCAGGGGGTGGAGTACAGATTATGGGTACAGTGTGAGACGGCAGCAGTCCCTGGCACGCGGACGGCTCCAGCTTCACAGGCCGTGACTGCCTGTCACCCAGCAGTGGGCGCACTCCCAGGTGCATTGCGTTTCTGTCCACCAGCACTTCCTGCATCCTCGCAGTTCCTGGGCTCTAAGCTGCAGCTCAGCTCTCGCCAAGTCTACCTGGTTTCGTGTCCTACCAGCCCTGGCCCATCCAACCCCTGACAGGACGCGACCAACCCCTCGGCAGCCAGGCCTCCGCTCCTCTCCCAGGCCGGCACCTGCTGCCCTGCTCCTGGGGCACACAGCGGAGCGTCCTGCTTGGGTCTTTCTCTCACCTCCACTGACTTCGTGCTCATCTGAACGCCCAGCCAGGTGCTGGGACCTGGAGCGCCATCTATGCTGCCCACTCAGAAGGGACAGAAACACCTCTTGCTCTGCCGTCAGAATGCCCTGCTGCTGGAAGCCACCAGGAAAGCATGTGTAAACTAATCCCTGGCACGACCACACTGCAATAATCAATGTTATAAAAACCATAGTAGAATACGAGCAAGACGACACAAATGGAAGAAGTAACAATACAAGCACGCACCACTGGGCATGTAGCGAGGAGGCCAGCACTCCCCGGAGGGCCACGCAGCAGCATCTCGGGCTGCAAACTGAGATCAAGAGCTACCCCGCTGCCTCTCGGCCTCCCCACAGGTACTCAACTCTGGAAACTACTTTCACAGGTACTACATGGTTCTGCCTCCCCACACGGCCTCAGCAGTGCCTGGATTGAGCTGAGAAGACATCGGGTGCTAGAAAAGGCAAGGACCAAGGTCTGTGGTAGGCCCTGACGCCACGCCCCTTGGCCGCCTTTCTCTGCTATCTAGTTCTTACCTGAGAATCACAGTGCCACCCTGTACTCCTCCCTGTCTCCCCAGTCATTCCAAGGGCTTCTCTACAAACGGGATCAGGTTCAGATGGCCAAGTACCTACATGCCCACCAGTAGGGGGCGCGTGAAATCAATGAGGGGACATCCATAGACTAGCACACAATTCCCTAAGGAACCACCATGGGGAAACACAGTTAAGCTCAAGAAAGGAGGTGCAGAACAGTACTGCCACTCATGAGCAGGAAGAAATCCCTGTGTAGACGCACTCAGAGCCTCTCTTACAGGACTGTTCCCAGCCAAGAGATCAGAGCAGCCTGTGAATGGAAAGAGCTGGCACCCGCCCTGCCAAGTGCCCACAGTTAGCGTGAGTATGCTGGGATGAGTGGACATGACACGCCTCCCACTAGGACAGAGAAGACCCCAGCCCCGCACAGGACGCTCTTGCATCACAAGGGAACAGCAGACAAACAGGAAGTGACACCTGTGGGCGCTCTTCACACATCAAGATCAAAGATGGACGGGCCCACACCCGAGCTACCACTGCTCAGGTGAACAGAGAGCGAGACGAGGCGGCTGAACGGGACGCACAATCCCACCCTGGAGGAAGGGAGAGAGGACGCTCCTGGGGATGTGCGCAAGGCGTGATCCTGGGTAACTCCACAGCACTGCCAAAGCAGCGCTGTGTCAGCACTGTCACAGCGTTAGCACTACTGCGCCTAAGAGAATGTCTTCACACTCAGGACACGGTGAGGTGCTTTGGGCCAAAGGAACAGAGGACACCAAGGGACTCCCTGTGCTTCAGAGACAATACACACAGAGATGGAAACGGAAACTGCAGTGGGTGCAGCTCCAAACAGCTGGGAGCTGCTGCACTGCTCCTGCAGGCTTACCGTAGGCACACAGAGGAGAACGCAGTCTGAGGCCCCCTGCACAGCCACCAGGAAGGAGTTGCCTGCTGCCCTCTGCTGGAAGCCTCTGGCCACGGCCACCCAGGCACAGGGCGCCCCATAGTCCAGTGCGTGCCCCGCTCGCCACCTCCTGGCCAAGACAGGTACTGCACTCCCAGCACAAGCCCGAGTGCCACTTGGGCACCACCATGGTTGTCTTCCCGTGTTTATTCCCCAGTATGAGTGACCTCACGGCCAGGGCCACCCCTAGACCTCCGCCAAGCAGAGCAGCCTCACGCAGAAGAGCCACACTACACGGGAGCTCAGAGAGTGCCCGGAAAGCAGGCAGACCCTCAGCACTGGGCCTCGGGGCTCCATAAAAGCACGATGGGTGCCACACAGAGGACAGGCCGGGGTCTACCCTCCCACAGCCAGCCCCTCTGCCTGGGCCTTGCCCACCACCCTCCATGCCAACCCCAGGCCCGCGGCAGGGGACTGGCCACCAGTCCCTTCCACAATGGCCAATTCCTTGCCCTCCAGCCTCGGGGATGCAAGAGACTCCCGGCCAGCTTGGCACAGGACGCCAAGGAGAGCAGCAGGAAACGGGCACAGGAAAGAGGAAGAGCAAGCACTGCAACCTGACAGCAGAAGCCTGCACAGACCAACTGCCCAGACGCCTGGCTGCTTGGGGACTTTCCACACGGAGAGAGCACAGCAACTTCCTCTGCAGGGATCCACAGGGACACGCACGCACCTCACACCGGGCCGCACAGGGACTCACCCAGGTCGGTGTTGGGCTCCGCGAGCAGCTGCTTGAACTTGTCCAGCCGGGAGGCCTCTCTCTCACTCAGCGCCAAGCTGCCCAGGGTGCTGGGGCTGGACGTTCCGCCCAGCGTGACGGTGGCCGAGGGTGGGAGGGACTGGGACCTCTGCAGAGGGACTGGGTCACTGGCACTTTCTGCAGGGTGAGAGGACAGGTGACTGTCACAGGGTGCTAGCTCTCCCTCCCCTCATCCTGAACACGGGACCTCAGGTTCCTCCGCAACGTGAGCAAAGGGCTACATGCAAAGTCCCCCTCCCTGTGCTATTATTCATTGATAAAGTTGACACCTCATGAAAGCAGTGACAGCCAGAAAAGTCCTGGCCACCCTAAGGGTATGAGTGGTCCTGCCCGCAGTGCCTGGACCTCAGAGGCTGTCCAAGTGACACAATCCACAGACCCCTGGAGGAAGGGGCCTACATGTGATGGCCACGCCCGTCTAGTTAGCTGGCAAGGGGAGGTGCCATCACCAGGGCAGGGCGCTCAAGACAAGTGACCCAGACCCCACAGCACACCTGCACCACAGCCCTGCGGCCACCCAGGAGGAGGCAACCCAAGCACATGGGCTGGCAGCCATCTCCACAGGAGCCCGTCAGGGCATAGCTGACTCCTGGCAACCTGCTGCCCGTGTCCCCAGCAGGCAGCTGAGGCCAGGGGCAGCCTCCTCCCTTCCTGAGAGCCAGCCTAGCAGAGTGAGTGGGGCAAAGACCCTGTACCACTCTGTCCCTCCCTCACGATGAGTACATTCAAGACCCTGGAGGGAAAGCACTCAGCAGGGGAACTGCACCACACTTCTGGGGTGTCTGCCTAGAGTGGGAGAGATGACAAAGAGACCCTGCCACCTTGAGCCTCTGAGGGCCACTTCCTCCAGAGCAAGACAGTTTCTTTCCCCACTCCAAGAGGCAGCAGGTGGAATTCCAAAGCCACAGCAATGTCCCTAGAGGAAACAGTGACCAGAAGGCACAGCAACATGGAACTGATCTCCTTACAGCTGGGCCATAAGGCCCATCAGCAACATCACAGGGCACAGGGAACACATCAGCTGCCACTCACAGACACCTGCCACAGCTCCTTCACCCTCAGATGCAGATAGCCCTTGTCCAGTCACTGCCCAGGAAGCAAAGGCCTCAAGAGCCCTGTCAACCAAGGACAGGCATCTGTCCCTCAGTTATGGAGACAAGACGATGTCCAGGTAGCCACTGAGAAAGACAGGACGGCATGAGCAAGCACAGGCACGAGGCAGGCTGCCCGAGACCATGCTACACACCGAAGCTCCAGCCCAGGCCACAAGCGCTTGTGGAGTGACACCTAGCTCCCAAAGTGGCACATGTGTCACAGGTACTAGAGAAGCGCAAATGCAGGGAGAGGCACATGCACAAGGCCAGTGAAGTGGATTGGCCCCAGGAGACAAGTCTAGGACACTTGAAAGCAAGCTGTGCATGTGGGCATAAGGCACACAGGCCTCGCGTGTCAGCTGCCTGGCAAAGGCCCTGGCTCCCGAGCAGGGAGGTGTGCGAGTGCTGTGGGGCAGGGACAGGAAACAGCTGCAAGGACACCAGACTGGGGACAAAATGTGTTTACTTCACCGGCAATGATGCAACTACAGGACCCCAGGGAAAACACAACTACGGCAGTAACTTAAAAGTTCCTTAAAAGTGTCAGGAATTTTAAAGTGTCTTAGTTATTTTCTTCTCACGCTGGGACAAAATACCCAACACCCACAAGTTAGAGTACAGGTTTATTGCAGCTCACAGTTTGCAGAGGTTTCAGTCCATAGCCAGGTGCTCCAGGGCAGGGCAGCATGGGGGGTGGGGCAGAGAAGAGACAGTCCATGGCAGGGCAAGCAGGAAGCGGTGAAGCAGCAGTACGGAGCCTCCCTTTCCTTTTTATCCCATCTAGGATACCGGCCTTTGGGTGGTGGCACGCCCCGCCACAGTGGATCTTCCCATCACTCATACTCAGAAGTACGCTAAAGTAATCTGTGGCCTAGTTTAGAACCAGACACCCTTAACCCAGTTCCACACACTGTGACCCAGTACCACACAGCCACGATGCATCCACCTCCCAAAAGCCCCACCTATGAGCACCAGAAACTACCAGGGGCATCTGGACACAAATCTTAACACTGCATGTGGGCGCTGTATGCAGACAGAAGTAGCCCTTCCTCCCCTTCCTACCTCAGGACATGGAGACAGACCAGAAGGCCCTAAGCTCTGACCCAGGAGACCCCCTGCCCCTGAAAGCCCTCCTCTGGGAAGCCCTCCCTTAACTTCTGTTCCACACAAAATGGGAACTTTGGGCCTGTGCATACGTGTACTTGTCTGTCTCCACAGGGGCTCGGAGTCTCCCCTGACCAGGGCCTCCAACTGCAGAACAGGGTTCCTTTGCCCTGCACCACAGACACCTAGGGTGGACCTGTCTCTGTTGGTGGCAGGGGCTGCGCGGGCACTGCAGGTTCTGCACAGCATCCAGCACCCTGTATCTACCATGCGCAGTGACACAGATTCTGCCCCAAACTGTCTGAGGCACTGCCACCTGCACCCTGGGGGACGATCATGCAGTGAGGCTGGCGTGAATGGCAGCAGCTCTGCAGCCAGGGAGCATCTCCGGGCCCTCATCAGTGAGGAGGACTACAAACCCATCCGCCCACCCACAAGCTTAACAAGGTAAAGGAGCCACTGCAAAGTTTAATGAGTTTATTACTTAAAGGGCTGGCTATCACGGTGTACCCAGTAAAAGATCAAAAGTGATCATTATCATTGTTTTGAATTGCCCAAAGGTGACCCCAGGAAGCAAACACAGGAAGAGAGCCAACCCCAAGGAGGTAGAAGCACAAGGGATGAGGTCAGGGACCCTCTTCCTGGGCACAAGCTGCCTAGACACAGGACAAACACCCCCCACCCAGCTGGACCAGCCTGAGCACGGCTCCATTAGGGCCCCATGCGCCCTGTGGTCCAGGCTGTCCCTGGACCCTGCATCTGGGGGAGCTGAGAATGCTGAGACCACAGAGGACCCACCCCGGGCTCCGAGCCCAAGACATCTCCATAGCTGGAAATCTCACAGCACACATGACAGCAAGTGACCCCGAGCCCCTGCCACAGCTGGACTAAGCAGCTAGCAGGCGGGAAAGTGCCCTTCCTCAGCGCCAAGACCGTCACCCAAATGCAAAAGTTTAACTTATTTCCATGTGCAAGTTCTTGTGCTTTTACATTTGTTAGACTGTGGTATAAAAACTGATTAATTGGAAGAAATCCTGTCACTGACACCCAGGGTCCTGGAACACGCCAGGGGTCCATCAGTACCTAGCAGGCATTCTGAACTCCAGTGGGTAGGAAACCCTGTCCTGAACCTAGCTGCAGAGTGAACTCAGGACCCCGTAATGACCCACTTTCTCATCTGCTAATGTGGGGTGCCCACCCTAAGCCCAGGAAGCCCTGTGAAGAGGTATGTGTGAGATCCACAGCCCAGCAAGTGGCCCTGGGAGGCAGAAGAGTCCCCTAAAGCCCTGTGCTCCCACAGCCCGGGGACAAGAGCCACAGGAGAGGAGTCTCACTCTGCTTAGAGGGGCAGAGGAAAGCTCGCCAGAGCCCCAGGGAAAGCAAGGCTGCCGCAGCCACCACAGTCCAGGCCCACAAGTCCTGTCACCCCACCACAAGGCCCTCGGCCCTCCTCGGCTCTCCCGGGCGTGCACAGCACTTGCCGAGCTCCTCATACCTGTAGCACAGGATGTGTGGCTCTCACTGACTGACTTCACCAGCCGGAGGTCACCAGTTGGGGCTGCGGGTGGTTCTGCCACTGGCTCAGGCTCCGGCCAGCCCTGCCGCTGGCTGTGGTCACGTAGGACACGGTGGGCCGTCTCCATGACCACCGTGGTGTTCAGGCTCTGGGCCGCCATGGCCAGCAGCTCATCGCCATCCTCCCCCGTGTCCCAGGCATCGCTGGTGTTGCTCTCAAACTCCTGGAAGGTGCTGACCCTCTTGGCCTTCCCCGGGGTGGTCGGCACCTTGGGTGTGGACTTGAGCAAGCTGCACAGCAAGGGCACTGTCACTGCAAGCACTCATGGCTCATGAGTGTCCCCCAAACTGGCCAGAAGAGAACCCCCAGAGAAGAAGACACTGGGGCCTCAATGCAGGCAGGAGGAAGAGCAAGCAGCGGAGAGACATTGTAGTGAGGACTCAGCAACAGGGGAGAAGGGTTTCGGGCAAGCAGCCTCTGCCAACAACAGAAGCCCACAAAGCAGCACAGAGGCCACAGGACAGTGAGCAGACCCACACCACCAAGTCTCCGCACTCACAGCCTGTGACCCACCACTCCTGGCATCTGAGCAAAGCTAGAGGCTGGGCAGGAGGAACTGTGGTACACAGATGGGAAAACACCAACATGTCCAGGAGAGTCCCCCAAACCTGACCACATGGGCCCATGTGTTGATCAGGAAATAGGTCAGACAGGTGCAGCCCTGCAGGAGCCAGGCCACAGCCAGGGCAGGGAGTGCAGACGAGAAAAGGGCCAGGTTGCCTGCCAGCCAGAATGCCACTCGATGCCCCGTGGAGCCCCACCCCGCACCTAACCAGGTTGCAGGCCACATCCCCCTCCCCAGGGTGGGACAAGCCACACCAAGGCTGGAGCCGCAGGAAGCGAAAGCACTGGCTGCCCACCCTCCTCCACCGGAACCCCGAGGCTTGAGCCCCAAACTTCACTTACGTGCCGTGGACTAGGGGGTCAAAGGGTGGGTGCTGGGCTCCGTACACATGCTGGATGCTACGGGGAAAGAAAGAGAAGACAATCAGCTTGGCTTGGGCTCTGCCAAAAGCCCACAGCTGACTCGACGGCAAGCCAGCTCCGACAGCACGCATGACAGGAGAAGCAGCGGTCCAAGAGCTGCTGGCCCCTCCAGCCACCCAGGGTCAGCAGAGCCAGTCACGGAGGGATGAACGGCGCCACACAGGCCCCAGTGCACTGACAAGCGAGGCATTCGGGCCATCCCGGGAGCAGGCCAGAGCTACCACCCTCCAGGTGCCACTGCAGACCTTTATGGGCCCACAGCTGGGACAAGGGTGCAGGCACAGAGGGTCACACCGCCTCGGCTCACAGATGGCACTGGGTGGACAGGGCTGAAGCCCAGGAGGAAGGCCGTCCTGAACGCTCATCAAAGACTATTCTGTCTGAGGAGCAAATGCCATAGCACAAAGAAGATCAGTGTAACTTTTTAAGACTTGACTATTCCATTTGCAACTTTTATGCTTGTCCCAGTATATTTGAAAAACACATGAACACAATGCCCTCGTGGAGACTCTGCTGGTCAGCAGAGCCCTCTCTCAGGGTCACTGTGGGCCGGGCCAGGGCAGAGAGAAAAATGGAGGCTGCTCCTTCCCCAACAAAGCAGACAGCCTCTGTAGCAACCCTGGCCAGTTCCTCCCACACTGCCTGCCAGGAACAGAGGCTGAGCCCAGTGCCCACCCCGCACAGCATGAGACATCCTAATGGACAGGTTCCAGAGCAGAGAAACCACCGTGACATCACAACCAGTGCTGGGCGGTGAGGGCGTGTGTGATGACTTTACGGGTGAACGTTCCAGCTTTTGAATGAAACCCTACCTTCCTCATTTAGTAACAGATCGCGACTATTCCTCCATAGCATTACTTCTTCAGTATTTCTCAAAAAATGCTTTACCAAAGGCCAGCCAAATAGCTCAGTGGATTAAAGGGCCTGCAGGCAGGCACAGGGACCGGAGGTTCGATCCCCGGGCCTGCCATGCCAGTCTGCCCCCTGGGGTATGCTGAGATGGCAATTGAGACTGGGCATGGTGGTGTGCGCCTATAATCCCAGCTCTTGGGAGGCTATAAACTGGCGGATCACTATGAGTCCAATCTAGTGGTGAGACCCTAAACACCCTGTAGACCCTTCCCTAAAATTATAAAACAATAAAAAAAAAAATTTAAATGCCTTACCTTCTACATATTGCTTGAAAAAAAACAATATATGTAGAGTACATTTAAAACCGGAGCACACATGGGCTCCCCTATACGTTTCTCTGCAACTCCTTGTAAATGTACAGTTAGTTTAAAATAAAAGGCTTTCTAAACCACAAGAATAGAATTGCAGCAGGTATTTCAGCGCAGCCTGTGCCACCCGTGTGGACAATACCAGTTCTGATGTCGCATTGTGCCACCTCATGGCTACAATGTAATGAGTTTAACCAATGCTGACAGCAGACATTAACTTATTTGAAACTGTGATCAGAAAAAGAGCAACACGGCCTCTGGAGACGAACTCACAAACGCGGCACTCTACACCCTCTTGCGGACACACTCCTGGCTGTCTTCCACCAAAGGCAGGCACTTAAGGAGCCTCTGATCCTCGCTGCCAGGGCGCAGCAAGCAGCTCCTGTGCCCAGGAAGCAGGGCCTGCCGGGCAGCCGATCACGGCTAGCTTGACCCAGGAAAAGGCAGCTCAGCATTGAGTGTGTGTCCAACTGACTGTGAGAGTGATGAATTGCTAATAAGTCCTGCTCATTTGCTCCTCTTCCTAGACACTGTTTATGCCTTTGTCCACATACTACACCAGAGTCTTCCCCCTTAGATATACTGATGTGTAAGACTTTCTTTGTGAAAAGCAAATTCCTGTCTTGGGAATTCAGACAGTGTGGTCAGCAATGGCAACCTTCCCAAAGGCGTACGGTCCCAGGGCCCAGAACTTGGCAATGTATCACCATATGTGGCAAGGGGGCTCCACGGATGTGCCTAAGAAAATGAACCTGTGACAAGGCTCACCTGGGCTACCCGGAAAGGCCACGCTGGCCACGAGAATACTGACCACAAGAACACTGACCACAAGAACGCCAACCAAGAAGCAGAATGCTTTCCGCAGACTACGGCTGGAGGGACCACAAAAGTCAGCACTGAAAGCAATCAAAGACTCGCCACAGGCTCTGGAGACAGAAAGGGCTATAGGCACCTCTCAGCTGGACAGGGCAGGAAAGGGTTCTCCCCAGGCCTGAAGGAAGCATGGCCTGCACCTGCCTGACTCCAGCCCAGAGAACCCTGGGTCAGACTCGCAACCGCCAGAGCGCCAGGAACGAGCTGCTCTCCCCAGCAAGAGGTGGCAATTCGTGCAAGCAGCACATCCTTCCTGCTCAGAGGAGGCCAGGCCAGTCCTGGGGACGGGAGAACTGGTCAGTCCTGACCACGAGAGGCTCGGTCTGGTGTGCCTTCACCCTTGTCATAGGATTTCACTCTGAGGAAGACAGCGCCCTTCAGATGCTGCATAAATATCTGATGTGCTTGCTCTGTCCTTCTACAATTTCGTATTCTCGATTCATCTAGAACTTGCTATATTCCAATACACAGTGTTCAACACAACTTTTCTAAAAAAAAAAAAAAAAAATAGTAATAATAATAATAACTGTTCTAATCCTATTTATTAAAATAACTTCAAGAGGGGCCAGCCAGACAGCTCAGCAGGTTCAAGTGCCTGCTTGGGCAGACGCAGGAACGGGGGCTCAATCCCTGCTGCTGTGCCGCCTCGCCCCCAGGGTGCGCGGAGACAGAGACTGACACGGGGCCTGGTGGCACGCCTCTAATCCCAGCGCTTGGAGGCTGAAAACGGGGATCACTACGAGTCTGACCTACATAGTGAGACCTGCACACCCGTACTAAACACATATAAATAAATAAATAATAACTTCACCTCTCCAATGCTTTAGGATATTGTTTCAGTTACTCTTCTCTCGACAAGACAAAATACCAACACCCAAAATTAAGGGAGGAAAGGTTTACTTAGCTCACAGATAGTGGAAGTTTCAGTTCATACTCAGCTGGCTCCAAGGCAGAGCGGCACATGGCAGAGGGAAGCAGCTCATGGCAGCAGAAAACAGCAAAGAGCAAGGGGAGGAGCAGCGGCCAAGCAGCTAGCTAGCCCCTCGCCCCTCCTTACATCTGTGTGCAATTATTACCCCAGGGTGGGGCTCGCACTCACACCCATAATCCCAGCATTAGATGATGAATTAATCACAAACTCTAGAAGCCACCCCAGGGCTGCATGAGGCTTTGGGGGACAACTACACACAAATCATAAATACCACTTTTAATATATGTTACGGCATTGTATTACAGTCAGGCACGGTAGCATGCAGGAGACTGGGGCAGGAAGACTGCTGTGAGTTGTAGACCAGCCTGACCTATATAAGGATTCTGTCTCATAAAACAAAGTATTATATATGACACTAAGTCATTTTTTTCAGTGTTCTATTTTTTTTTTTATTTACCCCTAGGGCAACAGAACAACAGTTTAATTACATCAAATGCTCATTCTTTCTGTGGCGCTGGTGACTGAACCCAGGACTGCTAAACCGAGCTACATACCCAGCACTTCTGTATTTTTTCATTTTTGAGACAGTGTCTTGGTAAGCTGCTAAGGAGTCCAGGCTGAGCTCAAACTTGCATCCACACCTAGCAAACTCTGTTGTGTCGTGTTGTGTTGTGTTTTGAGACAGGATCTCACTATGCAGTTCAGGCTGGTACTCACTTTACAGCCCAGACTGGCCTCAAACTTGCAGCAATCCTTCTGCCTCAGCCTCCTGCGTGCTGGGATTACACACCTGTGCCAACACCAGCTATAACAGTTAGTTTTATAGGGGCTGGAGAGAGAGCTTAGCGGTATAAGCACGTGCCTGGCAAGTGCAAGGTCCTGAGTTTGGTCCCCGGTAACAAAGGAAAACAAATTAGTTTTATATACTAAAATTTTCCAGTAAAATTTAACAAATATTTCTTAGATGTCAAATCTGTGATGAAGTACTGGGTAAGCAAAAATAAGTACACTATACCAACTTATAAAAGTGAAACATGAAGTGTCATTCCTAACGTTGTGATAGGTCCTCCAAGAACACACCACAGGAACACAGAAGTGGACAGGCAGAAAATCCCAGGCAAATGAGCAGGGCACGAGAGCTGAGGGGAAGGGAGAAGGCAAAAGTCAGCAAAAGCAAAGGGCAGAACAAGACATCCTGACAGCAGACAGAAGCCCTCTCCTAAGCCCCTCCCTGTTGACCCCAACCCCAGCCCAAGCTGGCTCCACAGAGGAGGACAGAGACCTAAAGTTAGCAAAGGAATTCCAGCTTGGCCCTGGGAGGCTTTCAACTTCTCCTTCCCAGGCGAAGTCAGTAAGAAGTAAATGACTTCAGAAGACTTTACAGAAACATCCAGGCTGAAATGTCACACTCATTTCTATATGTATCAGGGTTAGTAAGATATGCCTCACACTGGAGGAGAAACCAGAAAGCAAAACTGGGATTTGTTCTGCAGCCAGTAGGGACCCACTAGGTAGCAGGCACTGTCCTGGTGCTGAGATCAGAGACACAGCATGGGCCCAGGCCGTCCACGGGGGAAGGGGCTGCTCGTACCAAAGGAGGGACACACACCTGGCAAAGTGAAGAGACATCAGCCCAGGACCACTCTGTGGCCTCCACACTTGTGCCACTTTCCTACTTCTTTGTCAACTTAAAATACTGCAGGGACTGAGGACATAGCTCAGCAGCACAGCACCTGCTCAGCAAGCACAAGGTCCTGAGTTCCATTTTTGGAGCCAGAAAATAAAATAAAATACTGCAAGCCATAAAACACCAGGAATAATGACAGCAGTTAACAGAGATTTAGATTACTCTAAATTCTAAATACATCAACTGATTTAACCTGCCCCATTCAATGAGGCAGGTATGATTTTAAACCATTTTAAAGATGGAAAAACCATGGTCTAGAAAGCAT